GTATATACTATATATACTTAGTTTTGAAATCCCAAATTGCAATGACATTTATAACCACACAAAACGTTAGGACTAGTCAATTTAATATTCGATGACAGAACTGCAAATATTGATATCATAATAGATTATAATGATATCCCCTATAGCTAAGCCTGCGCGGGCATGAATTATATTTATTCTAGCGCAGAATACTAGAAAATCTCTGGAAAGAAAACAGAATTCAGACATGAGGATTGAGACTGCGTGTACGTTGCACTACTCGTGTTAGTATAACTTTACTATCGACTCCTTCGTATCCTCTAATTTTGACTCTACTCTAGGCAGATAAAAATATCTTCATCGTTTGTTGTGTATCTATACAGGAATAATACAGTTGATAAGTGAATAATTTGCTAAGGACTGGATGTATTTACTAAGTCAAAGACAAATCCAAAATCAATTTCCATTAGCTTTTTTTTATGATTCAAAAAATCGCTAATTGCTTGCATGCATTCAAGGCAGTAAAATTGAACTGCATACAACATTAGATGGATTTCACTGCTGCGCATTCCCGGGAACATTCGTTGTATGTTGGCCGCGTTATACAGTACAGTGTTGGTAACAATCTAGGCCTGGCCTAGACACGCAGATGTTTGTAATATGAACGCGTTTCAGCCTGGGTTAGGTCATGCAGAGAATCTATATGCTCGTCAAAACTCTCATCCAAATTTCCTGCTGCAGGACACTATATACGAAAGTTCACGGCAAAAAGCAAGCTTAGGGCCAACTTTTAATCATGAGTTATAATAGCAAGTTGCTATATATATTATAAGGGTCGTGATTTCACAAAACTGATTAGTCGTCGTGCATTATGGCCTGGAGCTTCGTTGAGGAATACTGTTGATTTGAAGGTATTTCTACGTTAGACAATGTGGCTCACTCGCTTATTGCTTCGCAGATAAGGTTCATAGCCCGCGTTAAAAGATGAAATCTGCATTATATTTTAGAGGCCATATATTATTTGTGGAATGTTCATTTGGAATCCGATCTATTTCACAACATGGTACGATCATATTCATATATATAGCGAAACGATTATTGTAATAATGCTATCAATGGTTCCATACAAATGAAGATCGATGAGACATATCAAACAATCTTAAGTGTTGATTTCCAGTCTTCCCATTCACACTTACTTTAAAGAGAGAGAAAAGACTGATTTCCGAACTATATATAACGAACTCATATACGACCTATAATAAACTAGATATATGCAATGCTCAATGCAAAAGTCACCTTACCTGCGACGTGGCTGCCACTAGAACTTGCAATAAGGTAGACTATTTTTCTAGTAATATTCTTCATATACGAAAAATTCATGAATTTCGAGTGGATAATTGGGTGAACGCTAACAAATTCGCTAAATTGCTCGTAGTTTTTTTAAGATAGAAGGTAAAAGAGTTACTTTTCTGTGTTCAGGGCGGATCGTAGTAAGCCGCTATATATACATACTTGGTGATACTTATGTAAGTGCAGGTTAGAGGTCTTTAATTACTTAAAACAAAATATGCATCATCATAAATTAACTTCAGTATTAGCTTTCCTGTTGAATTTTTGACATATTAATAGATTGGGTATGATTGAAGTATGCAAGCGGAAATTATATAGAAACGCTTGTTAATATACAGAGGTTATTACATATTATATAGACCGAGAGGATTTTCTACTTTTGATGGATGGGAACGACTATAGATCCACATAACAGTTGAGCAGCCACTGAACTGCTCGATATTCCCTCGACTTTTTCAAACTATATAGAGTTGTTTTGACGATATTTTAGGCGGAATGTTGTTAAAATCGCCTTATGTATTGACCTTCACGTTGCCACGTCACCATTACTAGTGTATCGGCGGCTTTAGAAAAACAATTACACAGGCCGTGTGTAAAAAAAACGCAACCACTACTGAGTATTTATAAATACTCAGTCTTCGACTATAGAAAGCAACCAGAACTTTTTTATGCACCCCGTATGCGTTTGTTATAGATAAAATTGAGATATAGCACAGATATTTCAATACTGCATGTTCACACCAATAAAAATGCCTAAAATGCGAAATCCTAAAGAAGTGACTAAATGGAATTTTTTGTTTACACTTTTACAATGCCAAGTATTAAAACTCTATTAACATTTCAATTAGGTGTTAATAAGCAGTAGATTATCGGCATCTGTGCTCGTATTTGCTTCTTTTAAAAACAAGATTATCCGACAAGCATATACAGAAGATTATCGTTCCGACATTATAAAATTGCCACACGGATCACCAACTCAATGCTTTTTAAATTTAATTGTTCCGATATTTTTAGACTGAAATAAAACCCGACGTTTTAAGCGTTTTTTAAACTGCATAGCATGGTCTAATTGACCGACAACGATTACAGAAAGGTTAAATCCTTCAGGGGACTTTCTTCAAACACGCAAACATTTACAATTGTTTTGTAGTATTTTTAGAAATATTTCTCCTAAAAACTAAATATAGATTGTCGTCGTAATTTTAGACACGATATTCCTTTGATAGATGTGAACGAGTGGGTAAGTTACAGATGTTCAAATAAGGGCATGCACATATACATCAGAGTATATTCATAACTATAACTATCCGCTCGTTTACATCTATCAAAAGAAGAAAATCGACCTCAAAGTCGCAGCAAAAACTGCAAGGTAAACAGACGTGGTGATAGTACCACCTTTCAGCTTTCAAAGCGTAGCTATCACTGTATTATTTTTAATCATGCACTGATTATTGAAAAAATTACAAGTGGGATGTTATATCATATAGCAACTTGTTGAGCAGGGTATATAAAAATGGCGTGCAAACAAATTCGAGCTATTTTAGATTATATTTGAATTCAACACGTATATAGAAATGCTTCTATATATGGCTATAATATATGTAAAAAAATCGGACATAGTATCTTGACCAACATAACGTGCAAACAAAATTGTCACCATCACTTGAATCAGTGCATTAATTAACAGCCTAAAAATATGACGAGGTCAAGAATTTCGACGTTTTTAAACGTCAAGCTCTGTGCTATCGACCGCTATCTCGCTTTTCTACAATGGACTAAAACTGTCTGGCTTTACAAGATCGCAGATACATCTTTGTCGATGTGTTTCCCTATTTCAGTAGTTTGCCTGCATGTTTTTTTAGCCTATCTGCGTGCATCCATCTGGATCACTCTCGCATGGCTCTGATGTTATCCATATCATTTTGCCGCATTTTATAGTCTATATTTGTCTATATATTATTATATATTAGATTATTTAGATTGGTTTTAGACTTTAAACCACTATACGTGATTGCTATCGTAGCCGGTGTGTCATGCAGTTGCAGGTTTGAAAGGCTGCGAGAACTGCATGTTATGTGTAGAGTGTACAATCATATTTTATTTTCTCTTCACGACAAACGAAGATGGCGTAGCTCGCGGGTATGAACAGTATAGTGTAAATCGAATGTGAGCTTCTAAAGGCTAATATGGCAATGCGTGCATTGATTCTCCGCATGATTCTCTGCATGCATGAGGCTTTGCCGTATTAACTGCACGTATAACTACGGCAGGCATGCATGCATGGTCATGCTGTCGTTAACCCATATATACGCATGCATGCATGATGTGCATGAACAGCCATTGCGTGTTCGAATTTGACCCTAGCCTCTTTCAAAGGGTACAAACTCAATAACCACGACTGCATGGGTTGGCCAATTATAATTAGCCCCTCTTCAATATACACCAGAGGTAAATTGCGTAGCAATTAATTGCAGAAGATACATTGCACAAGAGAGATGACCAGTTCAATGGAGATGACGCCTTGACGTATATCACGTATGCTTGATTTCAAGGGGATACATGCAGTCAGATGCATTAAAAAATGCAAATAGCTAATACTAAAATTGGTATATAATGATGCTAAAAAATTCTTGCTGCAACTACAAAGAAAAATGTCTGAGTGAAGGGTTTAAACTATTGCACTTTGATATACCTATATATATATTTATATATACATATAAAATCGATATATATTATAATTATATATATTATATATATATATATATATATATATATATATATATATGAATTGAAATTTTGGGGTAGTATAGAAGACAGCACATATGTAATTGCGAAAGAAGATAGGTCTTTAGCTACGTATATGTGTCACATATTGCGCAAGAACGGCATTCCTAAACACGATGAAAACACTTAAAATATCAATCTTTCTCGATGATGACACGATGTAAAAAACAAGCCAGAGAAAAGTCCGAGTTTAATTTTTCTTAAAATGAATCAGACAAGCCAAGAAACAGCAGCTAACTGCATGCAATCTCCCAGGATGGCAATCACCTCGGCACCACTTGATAGTTGAAACAAATACCGGTGTTTAGCTGTGCAAATACGCCGTCTTTGTAGGATGCAATCAATAGTTTTGTCCGGTAAACATATTATTGCCTGTGCAAATGAAACGTTTTTTACAAAGTGTTGTTATTGAAAATTAACATTGGACTGATTAAACAGCGAAGATATGAATGAAATCTGATTATACATATAATTAGAGACAAGGAAATGATCAATTTTCCAAGTGCTTTTTGTGGAAATTAAGGGTTGAGGCGAAAATTTTCCGAACTACTGAATTGCTCTATAATCTATATAAAGAATACGGTCGCGAGAACTTAACGGCCTTAACAAATGATGCATGGGCGTACTGTGTATTGCACAAGGCAACCATATCAACGATGTTGAAACAAGTGTCCAGGATACATTGTTCACGGTGTAATTTGTACAAATATACCAACACCGCATGTTTGGCTACTGATGCCATTTTAAAATGCATGTGAAAGTAGCTTGGGAACTTTATGCGCCAAAATTTACATTTTCCTCGTTGGCTCGTTAATTTACACTCTGCTCGTCTGCGATTTTCGGCGCGATTTTTTTCCTTTGATGGATTTGAAAGCGAAAAATGATTAATAGATTTGCTATTCGAATTTCGCTGTGTATGTTGGTGCTTGCTGTTTCAACAAAACAAAAGAGTAAACAAACCAACTCGCGTTATTAAATTCTGTCTCTAAAACTAAAACTTTTCCCGCCACACTGCAAATTCAGCTGGTCAGCTCAGCAAATGTGTGATTGAACACTTAGTGTATATATATCAGCATCATGAGTGTTGATATTCCTATATTTCGATTCACATCATGGCACAACTAAAATTCCTGGTGTGTCTGCTCTTTTTAACTCAAGCTTTGGCTCAAGGTATGTTTTATATGAATAACATTAAGCATCAATTTAGATTTTAATTGTTAGGCAACCAATTTTAGCAGAAACATGATAAATTTAATGAATGTATATCTCATGTTTATAAAGCATGCACAATTTATAATGCACTCACTTTCTATAATTACTGTATTTTTTAAAAAAAGGCTGCTGAAGTTTCAGTACATATACAAGTAATGCAACCATTGCTATAATTTGAGTCTGGGTTAATTTGTGAAATTTTTCTATTATCCAACAGATTGTGGGCAGTCTAGTTTTTCTGATAGTAGGGTGGTAAGTGGCCAGACCGCTCGCCCTCACAGCTGGCCATGGCAAGTCTCATTTCGACGTACTGGTAGCACATTTCACTTCTGTGGTGGGTCTTTGATTAGCGATCAATGGGTAGTCACGGCGGCTCATTGTGTACAGGGAAAATCGGCGTCGGGTCTAAGCATAAGATTAGGTAAGCATAAGATAAGGTCATAAGGCATGTGCCTAATATATATAATGACGAGGAGTTCACCTGACAATTGACTTTATTATTGCATGGAATTGGAACGAAATCTATCTTATTTGCAGAACTTAAAATAAAGTAAAATTTTAACCTCAAATAATAATTGTAGCTGATTATAATTCATTCCTTTTTGCAGGTGAACATAGTTTCAACTCAAACGAAGGTCATGAAGTGGACAGTCGTGTTGAAAGGGTTATTGTACATCCTGGATATTCCAGGCTAAACAATGACATAGGTAAGGGCTGCTCCCCCCCTAGACTGGGTGGCCCATACTACTTCACGTTTTCCTGGCAAGGTTTCTCTCTCGTCATCATACCAGTTCATGCTCAAAATTAGCTGTCATGCATGCACAGATTCATCTTTTTTTCGATCAACCAAAAATTGATTGTTTTAACAAAGTTTTTAGTTGTTTTCCCCAATAAAAATTGGTTCAATAAATGAATCCGAGGCAAACGTTTTAAATGTTTTAAACCATTTTAAATGTGTTACATGCGTGTGTTTTGCAAACTCGCACAAAGTCTGCTTGAAGTTTCTTTACTGAACTCTCAAATATTCATCTGATTACATTAGAATATAAAAATACTATGTCTGTTATTTATGCTAATAACACGCAATATCTCATGATGATTGAAATGTATAACCGAAAATGTTTTTGCTTTACTTTAGCATTAGTCAAGCTGTCCCGAAAAATATCCTTTAAACCGCAATTGCGACCTGTCTGTCTCCCACAACAGGGTGTCAGTGTTGATGAAAATTCTGGACAAAATTGTTACATTACCGGTAAAGAATAACTTTCTATCGCACAGAGCAAGCATGCATATAGAAGTGTTTACAATGTTTGCAATGTATGCTTATGTATATAGGAACCGTTATAAAGTAATTACTATTTCTGCATGAGCACGTTTGAAGGGTTGGTTCATTGAAAGTTAAGTATACAATCGTATATATCGGCCATGTAAAAAAATAAATGCAGGAATTTTTCACATACAGTATATATATAAGTGCATGAGGAAATTTATCGAGAATACCTCTTCCGTAAGCAGCCTCTCCGGTGTATTGTTTTCATTTTATTTACTCATATTGCCTGCCTTGATACTTAGTATTCAATAAAAGATATAAATACGTCCCGCGATAAAAAGGTTTAGTTATATATTTATGATTTAGATATAAATTAGTTTCTCCTTTTTTTTGTATATCACTTTTGTTTTCGTACGCTAGGTTGGGGTCGTACAGGAGCAAACCGACCAGGAGCAACCGTTCTACAACAAGCTAAACTTCCAGTCATTTCCGCGGCAAAATGTCGTCAACACATGGGATCTTCTGTTTCACAACAAATGGTAAATATCCAATGGTTAATAATCTCGTCAAATAAAAGGAAATTAATCATAAAGGAAGCTTATCTACGTTATCTGCCTCCATCCATTCGACCACATTACCATAAAGCCTCGCATACTTCAGCTGCATGTGAAGTGCACGAGATATACTTTCGTTCTGTACATACGATGCTTTGTTATATACTCCAAAATATTTCCTTTCTCCTGAAAGAAATAATTAATCATATATAATAAGTTTATCGATCATCAGCCAATCTGCTAGCTTCGTGTATATATTTCTTCACATTTTTGTACTTTTTATTCCCTAAACCTTGGTCATAGTATTTGAAAATTTTAACTAAGGATGCATGCACTTGTCAACCTTCCAAAGGTTTGCGCAGGTTTTGGTGGATCAAGTACAGTCAGTGGCTGCATGGGTGATTCTGGAGGACCATTCGTGTGTCGCGATGGATCGAACCGTTGGGTCTTACATGGTGCAGTTTCCTGGGGAAGCAGAACATGTAGTGCTGGACATAATGAATTCACCGTGTTTGCCCGTGTCTCTGAGTTTGTCGACTGGATAAAGCGATATGTTGGTGATGTGCAACCACCTCCACCCTCCCCGCAAACACCTAGACCACCGCAAACACCTAGTCCACCGCAACCATCATCAGGTATAACAGCTTATTTTAAACAGCTTCGTTTGATAACGAGTGAACAGGTCATGAACCTCTGAGACAGGTTGCTCTAAAGCCGGTTAGCTTAACCTTGGCCTTGGGTTAAAACAAATCCTCGCATTAATTTTTTTTTAATCGCTTGTTTACAAAGTTGAATATCTTTTTTCATAAATATTCATGGCCCGACAGAAGTCATATTTTTTAAACGTTTTGAAAAACATTCAAGTTTTGAAACGACCAGTGGTTCAGTAACACATAAACTAAAACACTTGATTTAGCTCAGGATTAGCGCGAACTTAGCTTTGAACAACTGGCCCCTGATGAACAAGACCTCTTATTTGCACGTTCCGTTACTTATGCACACGTTTACATCGCCTAAAAGAAGAAGATCGCACATAAAATCACAGCAAAAATGGCAAGTGTAAATGGACCTAGCTTATCGTTGGAAGCACGTAGCTGAATTGGCTGCACGTTCGCATTCAAGAGTCAAAACTAACCGTCTAGTGATGGAATCGCTAATATTAATAGTCAGGAATAATAATCAGTTTTAATTTGAATTAATTTAGCAAATTGTAACTTTGACAGTGGAAATATCTGCAGTTACGAAAATGGCAACGGACAGTTTCAATGGACTGTCTATAGAGGCTCCACACCCAGTGGTGGAACGGGGCCAAGTGCTGATGTCACCGGCAGAGGTACAAAATTTATAGATTGGTATCGCTACTCAGATTTTGATTAATGAAAGTAATCACCGCACAAAGATTACATTCACGACCCGACGTTTCGACACTCCGGTCTAGTGTCTTCATCAGAGGTAATCTGATGTTCACACTTTGATCCTTATATGCTCTCAACATGACGTCATCTGCCAATCAGATGTAAATATTCTTTTAAATAACACTACTGAACACCATAAGAGTAAATCCAATCATACGGACACACCAAATCATCCACATCATAGCTGGCCGTTACTAATCTTCATCATTGATTACGTTTTATAATTTTTTTAGGTAACTACCTGTACATAGAGACGTCTAGTCCAAGACAGTTTGGCGACAAAGCTGCAATTTTGACACCTACTTTGTACGGAAAACAATGCATGAAATTTTCCTACCATATGTACGGTGGTGGTATTGGAACCCTCAACATCTATGCCAACAATCAAAGAATATTTTCAAAAATGGGAAATAAAGGAAATCAATGGGTAGAGTAGAACAACCAATAATTCAAAGTGGAAGCTATAAGGTAAAAACGGTTTGTTCACAGTATTTTGGTTCCTTTTAAAAAGGTTTTTGTTCCAAAACCCAATATTTTTTGTTTTGTTGTCGTTTCTCCTTTTTCAGTTCCAGCATGTTTTCTGAAATATCTAGAATAATTTTCATGGCATTGACGGTTGTTCGCGGTTGTGATTGCCGATCTTGCGTCGTGAAAATGAACACTTTCTGTTACTATTTCAGGTCAAGTTTGAAGGCGCCCGTGGTAATAGTTACCAAGGTGACATTGCAATTGATGCTATCAGTTTCACTCCAGGTAGCTGCTCATTCCAAACTCCGCCGCCACCGACACAAAGACCAACACGACCAACAAACCCACCGACAAGACCAACAAATCCCCCGTCACAAACAGGTAATGTAGAGCGTGTGGAGCTACAAGCCTAAAGGCGGTCGAAGAATTTCTACGGCAATCTAGGAGTGGGAATTTTCCGTAGGATTCAATATTACTTTTTGAAGAATAAAGTATTTGTTTCCCTATAGTGAGATGTAACTTTGACCAAAGTACCCTTTGCTCCTTCGCTAACCTTCCAAATGATCAATTTGACTGGACAATCAAGAAAGGAAGTACACCAAGTGGAGGCACAGGACCTTCACGAGATGTTTCTGGACGTGGTAATAAACTACTTTTTAAATTGGGCGTGCTTTATACGTCGAATTTCGGTCGCATGGAATGCGATAAAGAGAATTGGTGGGTTTCACTAAGCGTTTTCATAGTGATTTGAGTGCGGGTCAACCTCAAATTGTCTGGACGCTTATGTTGCACAGGAGTGAGCAAATTATACGAAATTGCACATATATGCTACCAAGCACAAAGCCAACACATGAAGTGAACAATTAACTCACTTGATTACTGTGTCTCGTTTTCGAGTTGACCCCGCTACTGGGATTATGACGTCACATGAAACCCACGAATATATATATTATTCGTTGTCTTTAGGTGGCGTTGCATTCGACGCGACTATATTCGACGTATGCATGAAGCAGGCCTTTTATGACACATTATATGCATAAATGGCGATTCAATCCATAGTTAATTTCAGGAAATTATGTCTTCATTGAAACATCAAGTCCCAGACGTCAAGGTGATAAAGCATATCTTGCCAGTCCTAGTGTTAGTGGGGCTCAATGTTTGAAATTTTCCTACCACATGTATGGGGCATCAATTGGATCCCTGATAGTCTATCAAAGTATGAATGGACGTATGACAGAGGTATCCAAAATGTCGGGTGATCAAGGAAACCAATGGAAAAAAGCCGAAGTAGAATTGCCCAGTGCAAACAACTACAAGGTAAGATATACTACTTCGTTTTGGGCTAGCTTTTCTCCCTTTTTGAAAATAATACTAGGACTCTCGGAAAAGCACCGAGAAACGATAGCAATACAAAATTGAAAACATATTTGAATTAGTGTATTTCAAACTTGTGTCAACAGCACTTTGATTTAACTTCGTATCCATCAAAATTATCACACTTTTTAAGGTTATATTCAGTGGGGTGAGAGGAAGTAATTACCAAGGTGATATTGCACTGGATGAGATCTCAATCACATCTGGTAAGTGCTCTGGATCGCCTGGCACACCACCTCCACCTGTAACACCTAGACCCCCATCAGGATCATGTGGAGCGAAAGGCCGCGGTCTGAGTGACTTCCCAAAAATAGTCGGTGGACAACAAGCCCAACCAGGTGAATGGCCGTGGCAGGTCGCACTTTTGCGTGGAAGCTTCCCGTTCTGTGGTGGTTCACTTGTTTCAAATGAATATGTCATCACAGCAGCGCATTGTGTTAAAGCTACGGACTGGAGTCGCGTGAAGGTAACAATCATCTTAAACCATCTATCTAGAGTTATAAATATCCTCCACCCTGACGCTCCATCGATCCCGACATGGCAAAACTGAGAAGAGTGAATGGACGCGTTCGGGGTATAACTAATTCTGATTGCACAATACAAGAAAGAAACATTACAATTAGGTCTGTTAAGATTCTCCTGAAAGGGCTCTAAGACAACAACACCGCAACCGTTTTACCCGACTTAAAGAGGACTGGTATATTTTCAATTGATCAGAAATATGACACGTTAATTTGTCAAAAACATGACCAATTTCCTGTTGTGAGTGAGTCAGTGAGTAATTCTCATTTATATTTCAGATCAGATTGGGCGAACATGACATGCGCCAAACTGAAGGTCACGAACAAGATATTAGTATTGCAAGAAATGGCATCACAGTTCACCCTCGGTACAACTCAAGAAGAACTGATTATGATATTGCCGTAATTAAACTGTCCACACCTGTCAAATATACACAAAGGATTAAGCCTGTCTGCATAAATAGCGGCGTTGACTTCACAGGTAAAGTATATCGTGTATAAGGCCTCGTTAAAGTCCTTTTACTAAAGCTACCGGTCTAGGCCAGACTTATGTCCGTACTAACCGAATTGTAAAGTTAGTGACTTAACAAATTTGAACACGCCATATGGAACAAATTACTTTGACTTTTTGCAAAATCTGTTATATTGTTTCCCCATTCACGGTGTTCAGTTAACAACGGTACATGCTTTAGGACGAACAGGAAGGAATGTTTTAGAACAAACATGTTTCTCACAAAGAGAATTATAATACATGTTCTCACAAAGAGAAATAGCACTTCCACTGAACACGCATTACATGATCTGACTACTGCTGATTAATTAGAGATATGTGATTATAGGCCAGCGTTGTTACATCTCGGGATGGGGCAGACTATCAAGTGGAGGATCGACACCAAAGGTTTTACAGGAAGCCCAAGTTCCTATTGTAACCGTACAGGAATGCAAAAAATCATATGGTAGTAGTATCACTGATAGAATGTTGTGTGCTGGATATTCACGAGGTGGTATCGACACTTGCCAAGGTGACAGCGGGGGTAAGTTCTTAGTTATAAAAGAACAATCAAAATAGTATTGATTTGTTGACCAATGACTAAAACTGCATAAGTTATAATCTACTGGCCAGACTAGTGAACAGACGATTCACAAAATGAAAAAGTCATCCAGTGTCAGTGAGCACTCTCCAAGAGTTTTATTCATGTTTAACCTCGATATAAAGAGCAACAAAACTCTCTATATATAATTAAACCTTTTATGAACCTTTAATTAGTATTTTGAAATAATGGCTTGTTAAAATTGAAAGTATTTTCAGCGCCACAATCTTGCCGTTGTCGGTTGCGTCTACTTGTCTGCTTGCATAGGAAGAAAATTTTATTCATAACAGAAATGTTCTGAAAAAGAATCCAATAAAACCAGGGAGCAGCGTGGCAGCGTCTTCAAACAACTGCATCAAATGTGGGACAGCGACTGCCAAAAATAAAGTTAACGTTTTTACATCAGATTTGATGCCAAAATTAAATTCATGGGAAGTTTTACACATGAAATTTACATTAGCATGTATATATTATATACATGTATTTGTTCAGGCATTGTTGTATAATAATAAGCCGACTAAAATATTCTTAGAAGACTATTCTATACTTGTTTTCAGTATACATGACTATCGTAGTCACCTTGCCTTCAGCGTAATGATCACATATCACTCCTAAACGTTAGAACACGTCATTGTGGTTCCATTTTTGTGACTTTGTTGTGCGTCACATTATATTACTAAATAACGAAACATTACAGAAAGCATATACATGCATAGGAACCCAATTCCAGATACATATATATGACTTGCTTCATAGTTGTCTTGATTAAAAGAATAGGGATTAATTGATATATTAATTGTAAAATAAATCTTGTTTAATCGTGTTTGTTTCTTTTCTCTAGGCCCACTTGTTTGCCAACATAGCGATGGTTCATGGCATCTTACCGGCGTGACAAGCTGGGGCCGAGGGTGTGCGTCGGCAGGATACTATGGAGTTTACGCTCATGTTGCAAACCTTTATCCCTGGGTAAAGCAAGTCACTGGACTTTAAGTTTAATACTCGTCAAGTACCATGTGCGCAATACTTGCTGATAATTACAATGATTGTTAAATATTAGAAATTAAAGACGTATACAAAGCAAACTGTTTCGATGTGTAAACTGTTTTACTTTTGCAATGAAGAAAACTGAAATTGTTGATGCTCTCCAAATTTTCGAATGTTTTCTGCTGTTTGGTGTTCCATTCCTGGTTTTAAGGCCTTGCAAACTTCCCTGTCTTGATTTTTCATTCCTTCGATCATTTGTGGTGTGGGTATAATTGTATCATAATTGTATCTCTCGTTTGTGGAGAAATGTTAAGCAAAAATGATTGCCTAACAAGCCACCCTGCTTCGCAGTCCCTCCCTGCATGGAAAATGTATTGCCGATTTCGCATCCAATTTTTCGCGTTTATGAGCTTTGACTGCACGCAGTCTGGATCCGCCCTTGGGAGGAGCTTTGGTGTTTTTGAAACAGAAATATAATTCTGTTCAACAAATCCTGGGTGTGACACATTTAAAATAAAACAAAGAGATTTGAAAGCTACTGCAATGAGGTAATAACTAATCATGTGATACAAATACTTTTCTCTGACTGGACAATTTGAGTTTAAGCTGTATACTATTACAGGTTATCACATATAGGTGCCTCAGTGATATCAATATTATCAACCTCAGGACAAAATAACAATTGTCCCTTGTTTTCTATCACAATTGTGATAGTGCCCTGGCTCCTGTTCCTTGTGTTAAAGAGAGCCTTTCATAATGCGCAATTTTAGCTGAACAGGTACAACGTTTCCACCGAAATTTTACCTTTCCATCCATAGCTGGCAGACGGAAAGCGTATAACTGCGTCTTGTTTGTCTCTAACTTATCCTAGCTCTCCTAGCTGATGTAGAACCGATTCCTCTAAAGGCCCGTTTACACTTGCGATTTTTGTTGCGATTTCATGTGCGATTTTCCTCTTTTGACAGATGTGAACGAGTGAATTAGTTACTGAAGTTCAAATAAGAGCTCTTATGTTCAAAACATTCGTAACTAATTCCTCGTTCACATCTATCGAAAGGAGAAAATCGCACATTAAATCGCAGCAAAAATCGCAAGTGTAAACGAGCCTTAAGGTGTACCCTTGATGCATGCAACCTCTCAGTACTCAACATACACACATGATTAATCAAAATAATAATACCAAATCACACCGATCACTGAATTTTAGAACCATTTATCTACATACAGTATATGCTGCAGGTTAATCAGATTAAGTCCTGCTGCATGCATGCTATATAGTACGTAAATTACAGAAATAAAGGTTGTAGATGGTCAAGGAAAAACAAATCTTTGAATTCACTAATTATCAAGTAATCGCCAAGTAATTTTTTTACACAAATATATGATGCCAGTTTCCATCGTTTATCCCAATAGCATGAGAGCTAGACAGCAATACAATTATTGAATGAGGTTGAGCATGATGTCGAAAGAAGCGAGTGCTTGGGAACCGGCAGCATGCAATAACACTTTCTGCACTGAAATTCGGTCCGAAAAAGTGTTACTTCATTGCTTTTGACGTCAGCACCTGAAACAACAAGGCAGCCTCAAAATACCGAAAATTATTTGAAAAATAATTGATATTATTTGAAAAATAATTGATAACCAAGGAGCAGCGTGACAGCGTCTTCAAACAACTTAACTTAACTTCTTACAACATCATGCGAAAACCGAATTCAATAATTGTTTTATTATGTATTTCCTTTTTAGAGAGGAAGCCTGTGCCATTATTGACAACAAACTAGCGGCAAAAAATTACGTCACCTACTGATAATTTTCAATGTCGTGTAGGTGGCAAGACATTGAGAATTATCTGTAGGTTTTTAGCCACAATTGAGATTGTGATTAGTCACAATTGAGGTTGCGTTAGTAATGCATAATAATATTAATTGTTAGCATCAAATGTGGTATATAACAACTGCCTAAATAGACAGAACACTTCTCGAAGTTTCGAACTGAGGGCCTTCGTTAGGAGAGTACTCGCCACTCTCGAAACGTCGAGAAGTGTTTTGTCTATTTAGGCAGTTGTTATACCACATTTGATGCTAACAATTAATAATATATATCGAATATATATATTTCACTTTCACGCATTCACTTTCATTGTGTTTGACAAAATCATGAACAGCACCGTTGCTTAATTTATAGTAAGTTGGCTTATACTAATCAGAAACATGTTTCTACATGTTAAACTTGGGTAGAAAAGGTAAATCCTAAATCTTGCATTTGTTTATTGTTTCTAATACAAGTGCAGCCTTATGCCACAGCCTCGCCTGCTCCGCTTTTACTAAGAAATAGCGAACCTCTGATACCAATTTCTCGGAAAGGACCTCGCGCTCGGTTAATAAGAAGTTTCGCGTAATTTTGATTGTGATGGGGCAATTCAATGAGAATTTCCACGAAACATTTCCATTACAATTGCATTTCTTAGGATGGCAAACAACTTGATAGTTGAAACAAATACCGGTGTTTTTAGCTGTGCAAATTCGTCGTTGTTGTAGATGCACTGTTTACCGGCGGCAAAACTATTGCTACAGGGTGTTCATATTATAGCTGCGAACATTAAACATTTTTTACAAAGAGTTGTTTTTGAAAATTCATATTGGACTGATTCAATAGCGAAGAAATTCCTCGATTCCATATGACGCTCTAATAAAGTATCTTAAATTATGATCGACCGTGTCAAAAACCTTTTTAAGATTTAAGAATAATACACCGCTAATGAAACCCTATTGTCCATGTTCACAAGTAATTGGTGTGTAATTTGAACGAGTGTAGTTTTTGTTCAGTGCCAAAATTTCTGCATGTGCTAAGTGGTTTAATAATTGTGTTTCCTGCTTCTTTTAAAAGTTTATTCGAAATTTTATCAAAACATCTCCGATGCTTTAGACGTTTTTTGCTTCCATGCATTAACCAAATAAGTTAGATTTTTGAATTCAAAGGTTTTAGCTATAGATGCAGGTGTTATATAGCTAAGAGGATCAATATCAGTTGATCATGATGGAATATCATTTGCTAATCTTGGTCCTATATCGTAGAAAAACATGTGTTAAATTCACTTGCTATATTTTTCTTGCGCTATCGTAGAAAAAATGTTTTAAATTCACTTATTATAAATATAATAACTATTTTTTTCTATCATTCTTTTACTTCATTTATCTGCGCACTACATTTGGTTTTCTTGTTCAGAAGTTCGTTGATGACTTTCCAGCAATCCCTGGTATTAATTGTTACTATTTTCTAATTTTGATTTATAGTAGTTGGTTTTTGCTTCCTTAATTACACGATTTATACATGATTTCTGCAGCTTTTATACGCTTCATGATTATGAAATGTTGCCGACTTAAAGCTGATTGCTTTTTTCTTTAAATAGTCCCCATGGTAACCATTATTTGACCATGGTTAAAGTTCGCTTTTGATTTTTCGTCGTCTCACTGGTGCATGAAAATCAGCAACTTCCAGGGAAAATTTATTTTTTCCAAGTTTGTCATGCAATATTTGGGTATAGCATGAGAATGAGCTGAACGCATTATTTAGTCATGTCATGTTGAAAATTAAATTGTCTTGTTTTGACAATTTTTGGAATGCTAATTTTCCTACTGATATATTAAAAGGTTAAACTGCGGAATTACATAATCCAATAAAGTTTCGTGTTATATTAGTAACCCTTAATTGTCGGGCATACTGTATACGTTGTTGCAATTGTTAAATAATTTATCCATTAGATCATTAAGTTTATTAATGTGAGCATTTTACTCAGTGGCTATAGAATAGGTTGCAGTTTAATTGAATCGCCTGTTATGCATGATGAGCTCTTTATTTTCATCATCTGCTTTTTGTAGGAAGTTGATTTATTGATTTCAAAATCAAGGCAAGTTGCTTTTATATCTGTGTTAATTCGCATTAATTTTAGTCATGTCGTACGGAGTCCGCCTTATGTCATATAATAAATTTTGTACATTAACCTCGCTTGCTTTGTTTTTACTAAGAAATACCTGACCTCCGTCTTTTTATACGAATTTCTTGGAATCTCGGACCTCGCGCTCAGTTTACGCAGTTTCGCGGAATTTTGATTGTAATGTTGCTATTGTATGCAAATTTACACGAAACATTTCCATAATTCCATCCATTACAATTGCATCTCTTTGGATGGCAATTAACTTGGGCGGTTGAAACAAATACCGCGGTGTTTTTAGCTGTGCAAATTCGTCGTTGTTGTAGATGCACTATTTACCGGCCAAAACTATTACCACATGCAGGGTGTTCAAACATATCATAGCCGCGAACATTAAACATTTCTTTTACAAAAAGTTGTTTTTAAAAATTAATATTGGACTAATTACATCTAATGAGATGCAATAAAATGATCAATTTTCCAAGTCCTTTTACAAATTCTAAGTAAATAGGGGCTGGGGACAATTTTTTTAACAACTATTGCTCGGTTATAATTATAAAGATTACGGTCGCGAAAACGAACAAATGACGAGCGTACTTTTTAAACTGTGTATTGCACAAGGTAATAATGTCAGCTCTTTAATATTTCACGGTCGGCCAATGTTGAAACAAGTGTCCAGGAAACATTGTTCGCGCGGTATCATTTGTACAAATATCAATACCGCATGTTTGGCTACTGATTTAATTCGATGAGATTTTCTTCCTTTGAAGGATATGAAAGAGTTATTATAGTTACGATTGTTGCATAAGAGTTGTTGAATGTTTAAGAGCTCTTATTTAAACATCCATAACTAATTAACGCGTTCATATCTATCAAAAGAAAAAACCCGAAAAAACTGGATTGACGAAAGCTAGGCCTCTAAACTTTGTTCCAAATGATTCTGCTCTCTGGTTCAGATTAGCAAGTTTAGTCTGGTCCCGAGTTTACCTTAAACTAAATATAAAATTTGCAGACGGGTGGGGTTCCCTATAGCCCGCACGTCCTAGCTCGTTAGCGCCGGCCCTGCTGGTAGCTGATGTCATATAAAAGAGTGACTAGCTCAGTTTAGGACTCAAGTGCTATTATAGCACTCTAGCAGTTTTTATTATTGAGTCTCTACAATTTCCCTTTTTAGGGGACAGTTACTGACGATATCACATGCATAGCATTTTGAATTATAAAAATTAATTAAGATACTATATTTATACTATATATACATAATGTTAAAAGTGAAGCTAAAGGTAAAGATGCAGGTTGTGAAAACTTTTAGTGATAGCTATTTAGTAGATCGATATCTTTGTTACATGGAAAATCAAAATTATTCCCTAAATTAAATATTCACTTAAGGTGGCTCATTGTTAATTTCAGCTGTTTTCAATTTTTTATAAATAAAAGACATTTAACGAAAAAAAAGCTATAAAAAAGGTTAAAGCGTTAGTAAACCTGTAATCCTGTTCGTAAGCGAAAAATGGCCAATAAATTTTCCTGTTTGAATTTCCACAGTCGCTGTGTAGGTTGGTGCTTACTGTTTCAACAAAGCCTTCAGGCGGCGACATAAAGGCTCGCGGAAAATACGGAAATAGCAAACAAACGTTAGCGTTATTAAATTCTGTCTCTAAAACTAAAACTTTTACCGCCACATTGCGAATTCAGCTGGTCAGCTCAGCAAATGTGTGTTTGAACACTTAGTGTATATATATCAGCACCATGCATGAGTGTTAATATTCCTATATTTCGGTTCACATCATGGCACAACTGAAATTCCTGGTTTGTCTGCTCTTTTTAACTCAAGCGTTGGCTCAAGGTATGTTTTATATCAATAACATTAAGCATCAATTTAGGTTTTAATTATTCGGCAACCAATTTTAGCGGCAACTGACAAGAATAAAACATGATCAATTTAATGAAGTAGCTCATTTTAAAACATGCACAATTTATAATTCACTCACTTGAATATTAAATTTTTTGAAAAAGGGTTTTTAAAGATTTTGAGATTTTTCTATTACCCAACAGATTGCAACTTTGACAGTGGAAATAGCTGCAGTTACCAAAATGGTGTTGGACAGTTTCAATGGACTGTCCAGAGTGGCTCGACATCCAGTAGTGGAACGGGACCAAGTGCTGATGTCAGCGGCTCAGGTATACAATTAATTAGTAGTATTTTTAAAATCTGTTTGTAAATGCACCATGTAAGTATTGAGTTTCATACGATCATACTACTGAACACCATGATATAACATTGGACTATTTGGCTTGTTTCTAACCTTTTATTATATGGATTTTTATTAGGAAGTGGTTAAATATTGCGACATTACTAATAATCATAAAATTCTTAATTAGTGGTCGTACGTCTGCGTGTGTGTGTTGTGTTACCGTTACTGTTGTATTATATAATAATTATACGATTTGTTGAGCTCAGTTAAACGGTGGATACGTCTAAATTTCAACTTCAAAATTATGTACTGAATATGTAGTTGTAAACAGATTAAGGTTAAAAACATTTAGTTTGCCTGTTGAATATAAAACGATAGACTTGCTCTCTATTTTGAACTTATCCACTGTTTAAGCTAAACGGGCTTGATACAACCGGCCCCTGCTGAAAAGCCCGTTTGGAAGCTAGGGCAATTTGGTAATAATAATAAGAAGAGTAAATCTAATCACACGGACATACCAAATCATCCGTCGTGCATTGGTACCATAGCTGGCCGTTACTAATCTTCACATTGATTATGTTTTATTAAATAATTCCTTACGTTTTGTTAAATAATTCCTATCATTTTTTAGGTTATTACCTGTACATAGAGACGTCTAGTCCAAGACAGTCTGGCGACAAAGCTGCAATTTTGACACCTACCTTGAACGGCAACCAATGCATGAAATTTTCCTACCATATGTACGGTGGTGATATTGGAACCCTCAAAATCTATGCCAACAATCAAATAATATTTTCACGATCAGGAAATCAAGGAAATCGATGGGTGCAAGCAGAAAAATCAATAATGCAAAGTGGAAGTTATCAGGTGAAAACGGATCGTTAGCAGCACTTTGGTTCCATTTAATTCAAGAACCCAATAATTTTTTACTCTTTATATCAATGTTGTTTCAAAGTTCCAACATGTTTTCTGGGCAGAACCGAATAATTTTTTGGTCTATAATATTTTTTTGCTTTTTCAAAAACCTAATAATTTTTATTTTTTATCAATGTCGTTTCACAGTTCCAGCCTGTTTTCAGAGATATCCTAGAATAATTTTCATGGCATTGACGGTTGTTCGCGGTTGTGATTGCCGAGCTTGCGTCGTGAAAGTGAACACTTTCTGTTACTATTTCAGGTCAAGTTTGAAGGCACCCGTGGTAATGGTTACGAAGGTGACATTGCAATTGATGCTATCAGTTTCACCCCAGGTAGCTGCTCCTCATCGGCAAATTCAGGTAATGTCGAGTACATAGAATGCTTTCTATATACTGTTTCCCTGGTCAAATCATATACCATCATGTGCATTTCTAGGACTTAACAAAACTGCTTTACCGTCTTTTATCGACTTATTCCAACATCGAGCTCTTCCTCACGAGAATTCCTCACGAGATCTATTTTGAGAACTCAAGCAGCAATCTAGAAGTGGGGATTCTCCTTAGGGTTGCGTTCACCGTATCGTTCATTTAACTCAGCGGATATTACTTTTTAAGAATAAAGTATACTAGTGTTTGTTTTCTTTTAGTGAAATGTAACTTCGACCAGAATAGCCTTTGCTCCTTCACTAACAGTCAAAATGATGACTTTGACTGGACAATCGGTAGAGGAAGTACACCAAGTTATCAAACAGGACCTTCACAAGATGTTTCTGGACTTGGTAAAAAGTTGTAAAAACTGTTATTCAAATTTGGCATGTTTTATATAGCTACGTCAAATTTCGGTCGCATGAATGCAATGAAGAGAATAGATCTAGCTATTATTCATTGTCTTTAAATTTAGGTTGCATTGCATTCGATGCATGAAGCAGGCCTTTAATGACACATTATATGCATAAATGGCGATTGAATCCATAGTTAATTTCAGGATATTATGCCTTCATTGAAACATCAAGTCCCAGAAGTCAAGGTGATAAAGCATATCTTGCCAGTCCTAGTGTTAGTGGGGCTCAATGTTTGAAATTTTCCTACCACATGTATGGGGCATCAATGGGATCCCTGATAGTCTATCAAAGTATGAGTGGAAGTATGACAGAGGTATTCAGAATGTCGGGCGATCAAGGAAACCAATGGAAAATGGCCCAAGTAGAATTATCCAGTGGAAACAACTACAAGGTAAGATATACAACTTCGTCCTAGATTAAGTTTTGGGCTAGTTTCTTTCCGTTTAATATTACTAGGGCTGTGGGATGTGGCAATTGTAATGGATGGAATTATGGAAATGTTTCGTGTAAATTTGCATGCAATAGCAACATTACAACCATTTCCGAGAAAAAATAGCAATATGAAGTTGGAAAGGTATTTAAAAGGGTTGGAAAGGTATTCAAAAGGGTGTCATGTTGAAATTTGTCCTTTTACCAGATTGTGTTAACATCACACATCACACATCTGTCTCAACTTTGATTCAACTTCATATCCGTCAAAATTATTATTATCACACTTTTTAAGGTTATATTCAGTGGTGTGACAGGAAGTAGTTACCAAGGTGACATTGCCCTGGACGAGATCTCAATCACACCTGGTGGCTGTCCTAGATTTGGATCATGTGGAGCGAAAGGCCGCGGTCTGAGTGACTTCTCAAGAATAGTCGGTGGACAACAAGCCCAACCAGGTGAATGGCCGTGGCAGGTTTCACTTTTGCGTGGAGGCTCCTCGTTCTGTGGTGGCTCACTTGTTTCAAATGAATATGTCATCACAGCAGCTCATTGTGTTAAAGCTACGGACTGGTATCGCGTGAAGGTAACAATCATCATGCTTGGTATCGGTTAGGAACCACTTCAACTCAGAGCTATAGATGTCTTCCACTATGACTCTTGGTATCGCGCGTTTCCACCAAGTCATTTTAGCCGAGCCTAGATGAAGTACATGAGGTTAAAAGAGGAGCACGTCTCCCTAACTTCTGATATTCGGCTTTTTTACCGCAGCTTATTAAGTAAATAATTAATAAGGGCAAAAATAATTCTGATTGCAACACAAAAGAAAAAAGACGAATTCCACGAACACCATTTCTTTCCAGCATGCATCCTGATGCAAGCTGTCTACCCGACTTAATGAGGTGTATTTTCATCAAATCAGAAAAATGACACGTTAATTTGTCAAAAATAAGACTATAGTTTCCTGCTGTGAGTGAGTAATTCTCAATTATATTTCAGGTCAGATTGGGCGAACATGACATGAACAATAATGACGGCCATGAACAAGATATTGATATTGCAGTAAATGGCATCACAGTTCACCCTCAGTACGACCCAGCACCAACTGATTATGACATTGCCATAATTAAACTATCCACACCTGTCAAATACACACAAAGGATTAAGCCTGTCTGCATAAATAAGGGCAAAGACTTCACAGGTAAAGTATATCGTGTATTCCAAAATAATTCTAAATCTGACAACATTTTTCTCCAGTCCTAAGCCACGCGTTGTCACTTCGGTCAAATTTTGACGCATATTTTCTATGTAAAAATGTGATTTTCGGTAAAAATGTGGGTTAAAGTCCTTTGACACTACGCAAATAGAGTTCGAAACTACCGGTCTAGGCCAGACTTAGCAAATTTGAACACGCCAGGAAACAAATTACTTTGACTTTAGGTCTCCTCAAAGCTGTCTATAATTTTTTAAAATGTTATATGTATATTGTTTGCTAACCACGGTAGTTTAACAACGGAACATGCTTTAGAAAAAATAGGAAGGAATGCTTCAGAACAAAAATGTGTTCACAAAGAGGAATTTTTATTGAATGGATCTCACTACTGCTGATTAGAAATATGTGATTATAGGTCAACGTTGTTACATCTCGGGATGGGGCAGACTATCAAGTGGAGGAGCGACACCAAATATTTTACAGGAAGCCCAAGTTCCTATTGTAACCGTACAGCAATGCCGAACAGCATATGGTCATAGTAGCATCACTGATCGAATGTTGTGCGCTGGATATTCACACGGTGGTACCGATACTTGCCAAGGTGACAGCGGGGGTAAGTTCTTAGTTATAAACTGAGAACAATCGAAATAATATTGATTTGTTAGCTAACGACTAAAACTGAGGCATAATAGCGATAGACGACTCCGCTCTCCATATTTATTCATGTTTAACCTCGTTATGAAGAGCAACACAAAAAACTCTCAAGACTCAACTGTTAATCAAACTGATAATTTGAAATACTGCATGGCTTCTTGAAATTGAAAGTATTTTCCGCACCACAATCTTGTTGTCGGTTGTGGCGTTCTACTTGGCGGTCTTTTTGCAAGGGAAGAAAATTTTATTCATAAGTAACAGAAATCGGTAAATTGCAATATAACCAGAGAGCGGCGTATAGCAGAGTATTCAAACATGTTGGCGTCAAAAGTGATAAACTGGCAACTGCCTAAAGGCCCGTTTAAGGCCGACACACACCGGATGCGCTAGACTTACTACAAGTCGACTCTTTTAACCTACACGCGCGAAAGCGAGGGAAGGGAACGCGCGGAAGAGTCGACTTGTCAAACTTGCTTCGCGCCATTTTTGGCGACCCAAAATCAGGTCGCTGAATTAATTATTATAATTATCATTTCGACTATTCAGCGTGAATAAAAATGTCAATCAAGGTGTCGATATTGGTGTCCGATTTCACTTGATTAGAAAATACTTTGATATGGCTTCCATTATCGAAGCGATTGACAAAGCAAAGAAGTCTGTTGGCTACTCGGAACTGAAAGAGTATCAGCAGAACACTGTTCAGGCATATCTTTCAAACAGAGATGTCTTCGTTTTGGCGCCCACAGGAGCTGGGAAAAGCCTTGCATTTGAGTTAGCACGGATAGCACCATACGCTTTCAAGCACTTATTCGGAAATTGATTGAACACATTGTCATAGTAATATGACCGTTTTGGCGCGAAGACGCAAATAGAAACATTGCAAGTTTGACAAGTCGACTCTTCCGCGCGTTCCCTTCCCTCGCTTTCGCGACCTCGCTACGCTCGGTCGCTCAAGCTCGCGTGTGGGTTTAAAGAGTCGACTTGTAGCAAGCCAACGCGACGCGATTTTCAGTTACGAATTTTTCAGTTTTCAAAAGCTGCTAACTTTGACAATGTTGCGATATTCTTGGTAATTACTGAATGATAGTACATTTTGACTAGTCTGGTATCCATATCGCTCAAAATGTTCTTTCAGAATTGAATCAATTTGCTTCTGAAAATGGAGAATTCGCGTCGCGTCTAGGCCTAGCGAATCGCGTCCATGCAGTTTGTGTGGGCCTTAATTTACACAGTTACAATTAATTTTTGCTGCGATTTTACTAGCCTGCTTTTTAGCTAATTACTCGCTCACATCTATCAAAAAAAAAATCGCAGAAAAAATCGCAAGTGTATAAACGGACCTTATAAACGGGCCTTTGGATTTTTGTACTTTACTATTGAAATTGTACTAAAACACTAAATTATTTGCCCAACGCTCAGTTCGAGGCTCAGTTACCAAGGTAAGTGAATTTATACGTAGACTTTCGGCTGTATTCAAAAAGCTCACTCACACTCGCACTCATTGAGTGTGACTTAGAAATTTTGCTATTGCTGCTCAATGAGAAAGTTATTTCTGAATAGGTGGAAAGATTTAAGGTAAAAAACTGAAGATCATGCCTCTATTCGACTGGAAATACCGCCATGTAAACGCCATGAGCAGATTAAGATATCCCAATCAATGAGTTTGAGTGTGAGTAAGCTTTTAGAATACGGGCGTTAGTCTCGCTGAGTAATCACTAATAATGAGACAAGAAGAAGAATCTTTACTACCATTTTTGACTATATTCACCAAAAAATATGCATGAAATAATTGATATTTACAAGACTATTCTACTTGGTTTTCAATACAAGACTATCCTAATCACCTTGCCTTCAGCGAATTTAAAGTAATAATCACATATCACTCCTAATCGTTAAGACACTTTATTTTGGTTCCGTTGTTGTGCGTCACGTTCTATATAACTGAATAACGAAATATTGTAGAAAGCATACATGTATGGGAACTGTGTTCCAGATACATATATCACTTGCTCCATAGCTGCAATGTCTTGATTAAAAAAATAGGAGATTAATAAGGGATTAATTGACACATTATTGTAAAATAAATATGTTTATTTGTGTTTGTTTCTTTTCTCTAGGTCCACTTGTTTGCCAACATAGCGATGGTTCATGGCATCTTACCGGCGTGACAAGCTGGGGCCGAGGGTGTGCATTGGCGGGATACTATGGAGTTTACGCTCATGTTGCAAACCTTTATCCCTGGGTACAGCAAGTCACTGGACTTTAAGTTTAATACTCGTCAAGTACCATGTGCGCAATAGTTGGTCATAATTACAATGATTGTTAAGTATTAGAAATTAAAGACGTATTCAAAGCAAACTGTTTCGATGTGTAAACTGTTTTACTTTTGCAACGAAGAAACAAGTGAAATTCTTGATGCTCTTCAAATGTTCAAATGCTTTCCTGCTGTTGGTTTTCCGTATCTGGTTTTCACGCCTTGCAATCCTTGCTGCTATTTTCCGTCTTCGTTTGAGTGAAGTTATAAATAAATGATTTTATTACGCGTAATTTTAATTATCCCATCTAGTTATGTCCCTGAAATGCATACTAACCCACACTTTACAGTATGAAAAGATCGAAAAGCGTTTTTACGATTGGTAGGCTAACAGCGCTAGAGCTCAGGTCTGATAGAGCTATGATGGATGTCCGTTGGCAAACCACTGCGGGAAGTGTTTTAATTTTGGCCTCAAAAGTGGCTGCAAATGTTTTTTAAAAATTCAGCGCTTGAATCCATATTTCAGTATATCGCGCTCATTGTGAGTTTACTTACACTGTTTTCTGATTGGACAATTTGAATTTGAGGTGTGCTATTACAGGTCATCACATGGGTGGCTCAGTACAATATCACAACCTCAGGACAAATTTTGCCCTGGCTCCTGTTCCTTGCGTGTGTTAGAGAGAGCCTTTCATAATGCATAATTTTAGCTGAACAGGTTCAAACTTTCCACAGACATTTTATCTTTCCGTCCATAGCTTGCAGACCGAAAGCCTACTGCGTCTTGTTGGTCTCTAAATTGTCCCATGCTCTCTTAATAAACAACATTTCTCGAAGGCAACCTCTCAGTGATGATAAAATAATAATACCACATCACACTGATTATTAAATTTTAGAACAATTGGTGTATACATACATTATAATCATATATGCTACAGGTTAATCAGATTAAGTCCTGCTGCATGCATGCTATAGTATGATATATATATTTATGAAATCAAAATACAGAAATAAAGCATATTGTAGATGGTCAAGAAAAAAACAAATATTTGAATTCACTGATCAGCAAGTCGTTAGTCGTTTCCAAAAATAACATTTCCCCTGGCTCCACATATGAAATCAGCCCAGGATTTCACATTACCATCTGTTTTAAGGGGTTTGAAACTTTTGGACATATCCATAATCTTGGGTTGACGGAGAGTTTCATTCCAAATATTGACTTCAGTAAACTCCCCAGTGGCTGATTGATCAGCATCAAACTTACCACCAACTTTGTCTTGGTCTTGTCTGAAGACCCACGTACCATCTCCTGGAATTGCCGGCATCTCAGCCCATTTACTGAGTGTGCCACGGGCAACTATCGCTCCATTCTTGTGGAAGGAATATCCACCATCGCTTGATTGCCAAGTCACACAAATATGATTCCAGTTTCCATCGTTTATCGCAATTTTATCTCCACTAGACAGCAATAATAAACGTTATTGAATCGATTATTTTGAATTACTAGAATTGTTTACCAAATAGCTAGCAGTGTGATTGCAGCAATGAAAAATTCTAAACAGATTATAAAGTTCTAAACAGATCACTACCGGACCAGGGATGAGGGATGTTCTTGACTGACAATAATTCTCTAGTCCCATAAAATGACTCAATCAGAAGTCTAACATGGACAGATCAGTTGCAGCAAATCACCGCGTTCCGCTATTTTATAGCCAGGGTCACTTTCGGTGAAATGGAGCGATTTGATTGGCTGAGAAGAAGTTTTCCATCAGCCTCATGGCGATCCTTAACTGCTGCGGGACGTAAAATTTCCGTGCTGAAGTAATCAAACTTTCTCAACAACACACGTAAAAACATTCGCATGCATGGGCATCATCCATTACCTTGAGCAAGTTCTCTTTTTGCTATCATGTTCTATACAAAGTGCAAGTTTCGACTCTGGAGACACATAAAGCAGTATCTGGTTGTCTGCGTCCTCCAATGCGTAGGAAATGTAATGTGCATTTGTGGGATCTTGCTTGGTCTTTACCCACAAACACATAGTAAATTTATTCATTTCTGGAGCTCCGTCACTCCTTGCATAGTCGACAGTGTTTTTTTCAGAGAATATCATTGTTGTGAAACCTTGAAAAATGAGAATATTCATACATGCAGTATTTAGAATGTATTCAGTATGAATTGAAAATGAGTGAAAATTGCTTTGTTAATTAATAACAATGCATATACTTCGAGCAAAGTTTGAAGAAAGGAAAAAGGTTTGCACCACACAATCATAATAAGCTAACAACTAATACTATAACGAGCAACGTACGTATATAGGCCTCGATTCGTCGTATTTACCACAAAAATAATCCACAGCGGCCATCGCTGACAACGAAATGCAGTCAACCACATTGACAACACATCCCTCAACTATACCACTCATATATCACCTCTAAACACTGGTTTTAAAGAACAGCGCGAAAACTAAATATCAATAGCTACACGTGCTCATGTAAATAATTTAGATATTCTGAATAAGTAGTTTTTCCATTGAAAATAATTTTAGGCGTAATTTTTTACAGGATATTCCTTAAAATAACGTAGAAGTAACGAAAAATCCGCCTATAGGTGATCATCGCATAATAATCTCAGGTCGCTCGACCAAGCAGATGCCAAAATGCTCACCGCAATGTATTCCATTGCATTGTATTATCTTCATAGACAGGAGCTGGCCTTCGAGTTTGCTTTGTATTTCTAGTTACTGGTTAGTATTATCAAAGAATACGTATATTCCATCTTTTATCTATGGTATTACTTACATTTTCCGCACAGAGATCTGTACACATCTTGTTTATTATGCAACTCCTCTGTCAACGATTTGCAGTTTTTCTCGCCAATGTGAGACAAATGTACATAGGTTGTCTTGTTTTGCGGACACAGTTGGTTAGCGGCTTTCAATTTATTTCTCAGCTCACAAAAAAACGATTGCGGGCAGCATTTTGAATATGAATGCGAAAATGCTGACAAACCAAACGTGCTCAGAAGAAGAACGATTGTCAAACCAGAGTTCATCATTTAGAATATCTGCATGATGAAAAAAAAACTTTCTGTCATATATAGGGTGACATCATTTTTAGCGAGGAATGAATAACTTAATTATTATTTTGTAAAGTTTTGAAAAGTCTTATTTTGTAAAGTTTTGAAACCGACATAGCGGTGCAGAAGCATATAAACCAAAGAAGCGGAGTAAACTGATTTAACCCAGAGTTATAGCGCTAACCTATTGCCTCGAACAACTGGCCCAGGTGAATAAACCACCCCAGGTAAATAAACAATTCTTATATCGCTCTGGTTAGCATGGATAAGTTAAAATTATAGAATTCTAGGAAAGTGTTTGCGAGTACCGGTCTTCAAGCGAATTCCTTCGTTATAGAAATGGTTTCCATTTTGCAATGTTCTATTTCAATGATTCTCAATATATTTAAGTTTTCAAGCTGATATATGTTTCCGGCCTACATCACTAAGCATTTTTTATTAGACCTGCATGTATACCCGCGGTTTTCGCAAAGGTGTAATTGTGTAAAAAAGAGTGAAAATATAGAAAGTGTAGAGTGACTCGCGATTTTAAATTTTCCGGAAGTTTTGTTTTTATTAGCTGCTTGGCTAGAGCTGCGATTAACACATTAACATAGCCAATAGAATCCTGGAAAAGTGTTTGTGAGAACCTGTCTTCAAGCGCGAATTCTCATGTTTCAGGAATGTGTTGGCAGGTACCGCGATCAGTTTTCATTTTATACAAATTATGTTTAAATGATATGAACCAAATTCTATGACAAGGCTAAAGATTATGTTGAAAAGATAAATGTCTTTAAAAGTATTTTCTCCACTCTCCTATTTTTATTATAGGTAAAACAAGCAGAAAAAAAATGAATGCGCGTGTAATTACATTATATTGACTATATTCGTGAAACTTTTTCAATGATCCTGAAATCTTTCAACTTTATTACCCTGCGTCACTCCTATAGTACAACCATGCATGTCAGCTCGAATTGATAAAACAGAGTCAAAATCAGGTGTTATTTTCTTCAATGTAATTACACGCGCATTTTTTTTTTCTGCTTGTTTTTACCTATAATAAATTTATCATGTAATTATTCTACATTCCAAATACTATAAATTAGACGTTTTTGCATCACCCTTCCCCAGAACTCAGATTATATTCGTGAAACTTTTTCAATGATCTTAAAAACTTTCAACTTTATTACCCTGTGTCATGCACTCGTATGAGTAAAATTATGTCAGCTCGAATTGATAAAACAGAGACAAAATAAGGTGTTATTTTTTTCAAAAGTTAAATTTAATATATATTTTATGTACAGAATTATATTTATGCAATACTATAGAATAACTCACGATTTTTAAGCTTTCCGACTTGTTGTTTCTTTTGAAGTATATAGTTACTTGGTTAGCGCTGGTTAGCTTGATATTTTGATGCAATGCTTCATACAATTGAATGGTTTTATCTATCTGCAGCGTGTTATATCTATATACCTCAGCAGGTAAATAAAAATACATATATCGCTCTAGTTAACACAGCCAATAGAATCCTAGAAAAGTGTTTGTGTGAGAACAGGTCTTTCAGCGAATTCTTATATCATATATGTTATATAGTGCCGGTTTTGTTTATATAGGGATGCTGGTTGAAATGAATACAAACTTTATGGCGAGACCAAAGGTTATAATTATAGACAAACTTTATGGCCCGCAGACTAAAGTTCATGCATGTTGTTTAATTAATAACATATATATCTTTCAAAAACTTCGTTTAATTTCGATATATATTAAATAAGAATTATATAAATATAACATAAGAATTTATTAAAACTGGTTCCCGTAAACAGTTCCTATGATTCTATTGGCCAAGTTAGCCAGAGCGTTAACTATATTTTCATTATCACCTGCGAGGGATATTAGCTACATAACATACGAATAGAACCTGCATTTAATTTCAAGGACGTTGCGTTATCTATCTGCATGGAGTGTGTTATATCTATGTATACACCTCAGCAGGTAAATAAAAAAAAATACATCGCTCTAGTTAACACAGCCAATAGGATCCTAGAAAAATGTTTGCAGAACAGGTCTTTCATCGAATTCTATGTTATAGAATGCCGGTATTGTATGGTTGAACATATAATTATTTTATTAATACCGGTTCTCGTAAACACCTTCCAACGATTCTATTGGCCAAGTTAGCCAGAGCGTTATTATAAACTATATTTTTATAACCTGTGAGGGACGTATAACATATACGGATATAGAACCTGCATTTAACTCCAAGAGCATTGCGTAGTAATAAACTAGTCAATTAAGCTATAACCAGTCCGATAGTCGCTTATAATACATATGTATACTGTAAAAGAACCCAGGATATTTAAAATCGTAGGTTATTCATTCTCGTACCCAGGGTTTGTAAATTATTCTATTTGTCATACACATGCAAATAATTGTATGATGTATATATAATTAAGAATCGAAGTAGATATACAGGGTGTCTCAAAAAAACGAAAACTATTGAAATCACCCAAAGCAATGTACTTTGTTAGAGTTTGAATGCCTATAAGCACTCTGTTGGGATAATATCACAATAAACACTCGTTGTTTCGCGGTCATCTGTACCATTTTCTTTCAAAGCAATAACAAGGCTAATTTAAATTTATAATCATATTCACAATTTCAAATTTTTCGTGTTTAGCATTTTATAAGTTGCATTAAATTCCCACGGGCTAAAATTCGTGAACGCGCATTCAAATTTTAACAATCAGTGATTTCAATAGTTTTCGTTTTTCTTGAGACACCCTGTACATGTACAGTATACTGTAGTATATTATATGCATGATGATTGGGGGTCGCCAATCCAAATTCCTTCCTTTAAAGGATTTCTCTTATGAACATTTATATATTATCATGCATGCATAGTTTAAATAAAAAATAAAACAATGACATTTGCTTTTACAGAATCCTTATATGTTTGGGAAAATTTCTTAATAATATTTGTACTGCTATAGAAGCCTTTTCTGACTTCGTCCTGGTCAGGGGTTATTGCACCTGTGCAGGGGCGCCGGAATATCGATAATAACGGGGGCAGATATTCATATATTCGTGTTCGCAGATCGTAAAAACAATCGATTTCAAAAGGAGTTAATAATGCAGAACACGAATATATGAATATCTGCCCCCGTTATTATCGATATTCCGGCGCCCCTGCACCTGTGTTAGACCTAAGGAGCTGTTTACATCCATGGTCCCGCTTATAGGCGAGGTTCAACGAAGCGTGAGATGACTTTGAAAATTGAACTCTATTGAAACTTGAGCTCTGACATAAATTTGAAACCGAAATAAAGCATATTTCAAGAGAATTTATTTTAACTAAGAAATAGATTTTTATTTAACAACCAATGATATGAAAAAAGCGACAAATTCGAAAAGAATCTTCAACAAACTTTCGTACCAATACTCGATTCTCATAGTGAATTAATTGACGTGTAAAGTCCACAAAATTTTGTACAAGATATTGCGGTCTTTCTTTTTTGAACGCTCGGAAGGGAAGGCACTGACACTGTATACCTGAACATTTTAGAAGAAAGAGTTAATTATTAATTGAGCTTTCCGGTACTGTACCTTTTTCATGTCATAATAGCTTGCAATTACCAAATAGTCGGTTAAAATATATTCATATTTTTCAAGGTCCCGAAGCCAAATCAATGTTATTCAGAGAACAAAGTACCACTCACTCTGCAATATAGTAAGGGATCTCGACAGACAGATGGAGAAGATGACAATGTTTTTTGCATGGGTGAAGAACAAGCAAAAGACCGGACAAGCACATTACATCTCATACGCAGTCAAAGGAGCAACAAACCAGATACTGGTTAGCGAACAGACATGTCTTAAGCCGTGTTTACACGAAGGGGCTGACATTTACCTGACATTTACCCGTACCTGAGAAGTACCTAACCAAGTTTTACAGGGTGTGTTTACACCAGTTACCTAGCGGGACTTATATACATTCACGCAACATAAAGTACTGAGAGAAGAGTATTAAAATAAGTTTGCAGTTCTTTGTTTGTTTATTTCGTAAAAACTACAATGCCTCGTAAAAGAATACGACGTAGTGATTACTGGGATTACTGGCAAACAACGATTTCATGCAAAATTAAAAAATATATGATATAACTTATCGGCAAGTTCCGAAATTCGCAATGTAGCTAATTATCAACTCTGAATTTCCCCCTAATTTTTGCAAAATCGCGCGAAAATTCCAAGACCGCTAAATGCTGACATCAAAGACTCGAATTTACGTTTGTTGTCATGGAAATTAGCTTCGATCACACTTGGGTCAATAAAAATGTGTTTACACCGCCAGACTGACTTGAGACTTACCTAGGACTTACCTAATACCATATTTTCAGGCCACCTCTAATGCTTGGCCTGAAATCATGGTTTTAGGTCGGTCCTAGGTTGGTCTTAGGTCAGTCCTAGTGCGTTTACACTGCAGGACTAACTGCTTAAGTTAGGTCTTAGGTCAGGTATAGGTCTCTAGTGTAAACACTGCTTTAGACTCCAGCGGCCCGGTTGTATCAAGCCCGTTTAGCTTAAACGGCGGATATTAAGTCAAAATTAAATAAAACTAGCTCCTACATCTCTCTTGAATGAGTCAATTTGAATATCATGCACTGAATATGTAGACTGTAGTTGTAAACAGTATCTTTGTATTAAGGTTAAAAACATTTAGTTCGCCTGTTGAATAAAATGGCATGCAGACGTACTTTCAATGTTGAACTTAACCACCGTTTAAGCTAAACGGGCTTGATACAACCGGCCCCTGCTGAAAAGCCCGTTTGGAAGCTAGGGCAATTTGGTAATAATAATAAGAGTAAATCTAATCACACGGACATACCAAATCATCCGTCGTGCATTGGTACCATAGCTGGCCGTTACTAATCTTCATCATTGATTATGTTTTATTAAATATTCCTATCATTTTTCAGGTCACTACCTGTACATAGAGACGTCTAGTCCAAGACAGTCGATCTGGCGACTGGCGGCAATTTTGACACCTACCTTGAACGGCAACCAATACATGAAATTTTCCTACCATATGTACGGTGGTGATGTTGGAACCCTCAAAATCTATGCCAACAATCGAATGATATCTTCGCAAACAGGAAATCAAGGAAATCAATGGGTGCAAGCAGAACAACCAATAATCAGGTGAAAGGGATCGCTAACAGCACTTTGGTTCCATTTAGTTCAAAAACCCAATATTTTTTTTCTCTTTATATCAATGTTGTTTCAAAGTTCCAACATGTTTTCTGGGCAGAACCGAATAATTTTTTGGTCTATAATATTTTTTTGCTTTTTCAAAAACCTAATAATTTTTATTTTCTATCAATGTCGTTTCACAGTTCCAGCCTGTTTTCAGAGATATTCTAGAATAATTTTCATGGCATTGACGGTTGTTCGTGGTTGTGATTGTCGAGCTTGCGTCGTGAAAGTGAACACTTTCTGTTGCTATTTCAGGTCAAGTTTGAAGGCATCCGTGGTAATGATTACGAAGGTGACATTGCAATTGATGCTATCAGTTTCACCCCAGGTAGCTGCTCCTCATCGGCAAATTCAGGTAATGTCGAGTATATAGAATGCTTTCTATACTGTTTCCCTGGTCAAATCATATACCATCATGTGCATTTCTAGGACTTAACAAAACTGCTTCACCGTCTTTTATCGAATTATTCCATCATCGAGCTCTTCCTCACGGGAATTCCTCACGAGATCTATTTTGAGAACTCAAGCAGCAATCTAGAAGTGGGGATTCTCCTTAGGGTTGCATGCACCGTATCGTTCATTTAACTCAGCGGATATTACTTTTTAAGAATAAAGTATACTAGTGTTTGTTTTCTTTTAGTGAAATGTAACTTCGACCAGAATAGCCTTTGCTCCCTCACTAACAGTCAAAATGATGACTTTGACTGGACAATCGGGAGAGGAAGTACACCATGTTATCAAACAGGACCTTCACAAGATGTTTTTGGACTTGGTAAAAAGTTGTGAAAACTGCTATTCAAATTGGGCATGTTTTATATAGCTACGTCAAATCTCGGTCGCATGAATTGCAATGAAGAGAATAAATCTAGCTATTATTCATTGTCTTTAAGTTTAAGTTGCATTGCATTCGATACATGAAGCAGGCCTTTTATGACACATTATCCCCGAGCCGGTGCGGAGCACCGTGCGAGGGTACTAATTCCGCCCGGAGATTAGGAATTACACCCGGGACCCGGGAGAACATAGCGGAATCCAAAGTTGCCCAAATGTCACTGCCCAAATGTCATGGACGTTCAATGGTCATGGTACTTGTACGCATGCGCGAAATGCGAACGAGTGTAGACCACTGAGGTGTAGACCAGTGAACTATAATAAATAACTGGAACGATACCTCCTCATTGTTTTTGTGAAGCCAAAATTTGCGGGACTTTACCTCCAGACCCGCGTGTCTGGAGGTAAAGTCTCGCAAATTTTGGCAAATTTTTGGCTTCATTCGCGCGTGACTCGCGAGACACTGCAGATGCAGAGCGAATTTGAAAGAATTTTGATTTTTTGTTTGTTTCATGGTTTTAAATGTTTTTTTTATGGAATTATAGTGGAATTACTCTTAAATTGAACCAGGTGAACTGTTTTACGAATTACAACTGGAGTTGCCGATCAGATTGGAAACAAATTTTCTTAAACGGAACAAGTTTATAGCGATGTGCAATTTTGACAACAATATTTGTACGAAACGGATATCCTAAAGCTAAAATTTCATCGCAAAATACACTTGGTAGACATTGTTTAATAATATAAGTTTATATTTATGTAATTTCAAGTGACTAGATGGCAAAAAAGTTGTATTAATTGTAAAGTAAAACAAATATTCCTGCATTGTCACGCTAGGCTCTACGCTTTTTCCTAGCAAAGAGCCGTCTTACTCCGCATTCCAATAATAGGTCCATAAAATGCATTCTACCAACATCAAGAATGTCTCAGCCGGCTGTAAGCACTAACAAAATCAGTTATTTAACTCCCTAAAAAATTTTTCGGGGAGTTTTTATCAAATTTACGAAATCACAAAAAAAAAATTTGTTTTGGCCGTGTTTGTTTTTGCGTGTAAAGACTGGGGGTGACTTAGCTTCAACTTCCTGTCAGAAGGTAGCGTTCCAGTTATATTTATTTCACTGGTGTAGACCTTTAATCAGCAACTTCCTGATTGGCTAAGACGAAACGTTTGTGCACAGATCATAGGAAGCCCAGACAAATGAGTTGAAGTTAATAAAAATCCGTAAAACACTTGAGATATGTGTTAAAATGAATTAAAGTATGTAATATGCTACAAAACTACTGTTAGAACCATGTATGTAACGTGCTCCAGAGGCGCTGCCATTTGACTATGCAACTAGTGACGTAACTTACTATATTATTAGGAAGGATGGAAACTCTCACCTCAATTTTCAACATGTTCACAAATTAAAACACAAATTACTATAGTAAAACGGCACGTCGACTGCTAAATGCCTACCCTAGGTTTAAGTTGAATAATCAAACTATACTTTCATCACAAAAATAATGCTGAATTCAAAAGAAAGCGCTGGAAAAACGTACACAAACTTTGTAAATTTGCCGAAATTTTCGTAAATTCATGCGGGATGTAAGTACCTACCCAAAATGGCGGCGGCAGAAGAATCTGATTGGTCGAGAAAGGTAAACAAAGTATGATAAACCAATCTGATTGGTCGAGAAAGGTAAACAAAGAATGATCGACCAATCAGATTCTTCTGCCGCCGCCATTTTGGGTAGGTACTTACATCCCGCATGAATTTACGAAAATTTCGGCAAATTTACAAAGTTTGTGTACGTTTTTCCAGCGCTTTCTTTTGAATTCAGCATTATTTTTGTGATGAAAGTATAGTTTGATTATTCAACTTAAACCTAGGGTAGGCATTTAGCAGTCGACGTGCCGTTTTACTATAGTAATTTGTGTTTTAATTTGTGAACATGTTGAAAATTGAGGTGAGAGTTTCCATCCTTCCTAATAATATAGTAAGTTACGTCACTAGTTGCATAGTCAAATGGCAGCACCTCTGGAGCACGTTACATACATGGTTCTAACAGTAGTTTTGTAGCATATTACATACTTTAATTCATTTTAACACATATCTCAAGTGTTTTACGGATTTTTATTAACTTCAACTCATTTGTCTGGGCTTCCTAATAATATAGTAAGTTACGTCACTAGTTGCATAGTCAAATGGCAGCGCCTCTGGAGCACGCTACACACATGGTTCTAACAGTAGTTTTGTAGCATATTACATACTTTAATTCATTTTAACACATATCTCAAGTGTTTTACGGATTTTTATTAACTTCAACTCATTTGTCTGGGCTTCCTATGCACAGATTAGCTATATAGCTAATCTGTGGTTTGTGTTTCAGTGAAAAACGTCAGCAATTTAGCTGTCATTTTGCAAACTATTTCTTAAAAAAATGTTTCGAAAACAAAATATGAAATGTGGAATCAAATAACAGATAAAACACTGGAAAGAGTTTAAAATATTATCAGAACTGGAGGAATTAGCGGTGAAAAGGAACAACTCGATTATAATCCTTGAAATGGTAGGAGTCTATTTTGTTTATTTCGAGGTTTATTTCGCGTTTGCTGTACGAATACATTTTATGACCTTGGTACAGTATGTCGTTTTGCTCGGTTTTTCGAAGACGTGACCGACTATTTAAGGCTTTAGATCATCGTTTTAACTTCCAAAAGAGTCCTTAAAAGTGTAATTCGGAGTTTTAATATAACAAATATCACTTTAAAGGCTTATATATAGTCGACTGCAATCACTGCGTGAATTTAATAATCGAAAAACAACATTCGACGTTCACTGCTTGGTTATTTATATTATTTGGGCTGTTTTGATGTTTTGAAGGTTTAGCTATAATGAAGTATTAACTCTCACTTAAACTGTGAAAGTCTATAACTTAATGCAACGGAAAGCAGCAGGAAAACGGGTGATTTCACTTTACCTTTACGACTGTGTTTGTTTCCAAAATATTTGAAACATCAGCTATCGGCTTTACATTTAAGACATTTCATAATAATTTATTGAAGGTTAGGTCTGGCTAGCTCAGGAAATATTTTGCTTCGTTTGAAATGGCGAGGGGTTGCTGCATGCATGTATTTCTAGTAATTATGCATAAATGGCGATTGAATCCACAGTTAATTTCAGGATATTATGCCTTCATTGAAACATCAAGTCCCAGAAGTCAAGGTGATAAAGCATATCTTGCCAGTCCTAAAGTTAGTGGCGCTCAATGTTTGAAATTTTCCTACCACATGTTTGGGGTATCAATGGGATCCTTGATAGTCTATCAAAGTATGAATGGACTAATGACAGAGGTATTCAAAATGTCGGGTGATCAAGGAAACCAATGGAAAAAAGCCGAAGTAGAATTATCCAGTGGAAACAACTACAAGGTCAGATATACAACTTCGTCCTAGATTAGTGTTGGACAAGCTGTATTTTTTCAGTTTTCAAAAGCTGCTAAGTTGACAATGTTGCGATATTCTTGGTAATTACTGAATGATAGTACATTTTGACTAGTCTGGTATCCATATCGCTCAAAATGTTCTTTCAGAATTGAATCTATTTGCTTCTGAAAATGGAGAATTCGCGTCGCGTCTAGCGAATCGCGTCCATGCAGTTTGTGTGGGCCTTTGCACGGTTGCATTTTTGCTGCGATTTTACTAGCCTGCATGGCAGGCAGGCGGACCTAGGCGATTTTACGTGCGATTTTCTTCTTTAGATAGATATAAATGAGTGAATTAGTTACTGTTATTAAAATAAGAGTTCTTAGCTAATTACTCACTCACATCTATCAAAAGAAGAAAACCGCAGCAAAAATCGCAAGTTTAAACGGGCGTTATTATAGTCTGCCTTGGATTTTTGTAATTTACGATTGAAATTGTACTAAAACACTAAATTATTTGCCTAATTAACGCTCAGTTCGAGGCTCAGTTACCAAGGTAGGTGAATTTATAACTGGACTTTGTCTTGCTGAATAATCACTAATAAGAATCTTTACTACCATTTTTTACTATATTCACCGAAAAATATGCATGAAAGTTACAAGACTATTCTACTTGGTCTTCAGTACAAGACTATCCTAATCCCTTTGCCTTCAGCGAATGTAAAGTAATGATCACATATCACTCCTAAAGGTTAAGACACTTTATTTTGGTTCCATTGTTGTGCGTCACCTTCTATATTAATATAACTGAATAACGAAATTTTGCAGAAAACATACATGTATGGGGACTGTGTTCCAGATACATATATCAATTGCTTCATAGCTGCATGCAATGTCTTGATTAAAAGAATAAGAGATTAATAAGGGATTAATTCACACATTATTTGTAAAATAAATCTTGTTTAATCATGCTTGTTTCTTTTCTCTAGGTCCACTTGTTTGCCAACATATAGCGATGGTTCATGGCATCTTACAGGCGTGACAAGCTGGGGCCGAGGGTGTGCATTGGCGGGATACTATGGAGTTTACGCTCATGTTGCAAACCTTTATCCCTGGGTAAAGCAAGTCACTGGACTTTAAGTTTAATACTCGTCAAGTACCATGTGCGCAATACTTGGTGATAATTACAATGATTGTTAAATATTAGAAATTAAAGACGTATACAAAGCAAACTGTTTCGATGTGTAAACTGTTTTCATTTTGTCACGAAGAAACAACTGAAATTCTTGATGTTCTTCACATGTTTGAATGCTTTCCTGCTGTTGGTTTTCCGTATCTGGTTTTCAGGCCTTGCAATCTTTGCTGCTATTTTCCGTCTTCGTTTGAAAGAAGTTATAAATGAATGATTTTACAACGCGTAATTTTAATTATCCCATCTATAGTTATGTCCCTGCAAGAAATGCATACTAACCCACACTTTATGCAGTATAAAAAGATCGAAGAGCGTTTTTACGATTGGTAGGCTTACGGCGCGAGAGCTCAGGTCTGATAGAGCTATGATGGATGTCCGTTCGCAAACCACTGCGGAAAGTGTTGTCATTTTGGCCTCAAAAGTGGCTGCAAATCTTTTTAATAAATTGAACGCTTGAATCCATATTTCAGTATATCGCGCTCATTGTGAGTTTACTTACACTGTTTTCTGATTGGACAATTTGAATTTGAGGTGTACTATTACAGATCATCACATGGGTGGCTCAGTACAATATCACAACCTCAGGACAAATTTTGCCCTGGCTCCTGTTCCTTGCATGTGTTAAAGCGAGCCTTTCATAATGCATAATTTTAGCTGAACAGGTTCAAACTTTCCACCGACATTTTATCTTTCCGTCCATAGCTGGCAGACCGAAAGCTTAACTGCGTCTTGTTGGTCTCTAAATTGTCCCGTGCTCTCTTAATAAACAACATTTCTCGAAGGCAACCTCTCAGTAACCAAATAACCAAATGCACACACAAATGATAAAATAATAATACCACATCACACTGATTATTAAATTTTAGAACAATTGGTCTATACATACATTATAATCATATATGCTACAGATTAAGTCCTGCTGCATGCATGCTATAGTATGATATATATATTTATGAAATCAAAATACAGAAATAAAGCATGTAGATGGTCAAGAAAAAAACAAATATTTGAATTCACTGATCAGCAAGTCGTTAGTCGTTTCCAAAAATAACATTTCCCCTGGCTCCACATATGAAATCATACCAGGATTTCACATTACCTGCAGCTTGTCCACTGGCATTGACACTTCTGGACATTTCCATAATCTCTGGGTCAGGGAGAATTTCATTCCAAATATTGACTCCACTCAACTCCCCAGTGGCTGATTGATGAGCCTCAAACCCACCACCAACTTCATCTTGGTCTTGTCTCAAAACCCACGTACCATCTCGTGGAATTGGAATCCCGACACTTGCACTGATTGTGCCATCGCCAACTTTCCTTCCATTCTTGTAAAAGAAATATTCACCATTGCTTTTTCGCCAAGTCACACAAAAATGGTTCCACTGTCCAACGACTATCGCAATATTATCGTCACTAGACAGCAATAATAAACGTTATTGAATCGATTATTTTAAATTACTAGAATTGTTTACCAAATAGCTGGCAGTGTGATTGCAGCAATGAAAAATTCTAAACAGATTATAAAGTTCTAAACAGATCACTGCCGGACCAGGGATGAGGGATGTTCTTGACTGACATTAATTCTCTAGTGCCATAAAATGGCTGAATCAGAAGTCTAACATAAACAGATCAGTTGCAGCAAATCACCGTGCGCCGCTATTTCATAGCCAGCGTCACTTTTGGTGAAATGGAGCCATTTGATTGGCTGAGAAGAAGTCTTCGATCAGCCTAATGGCGATCCATAACTTACGAACATCACAGGTAAAAGCATCCGCATGCATAAGCATCCATATTACCTTGAGTCAACGTGATGGCTTTTGCTGTCATGGTGTATGGTGAGTCTCAATTTCGCCGAATTTTCAGGCGTATAAAGCAGTATCTGGTTGTCTGCCTCCCTAACTGCGTAGGAAATGTAATGTACATTTATGGGCGTTTGGTTGGGCTTTACCCACAAACACATAGTAAATGCATTCATCTCTGGAGCTCCGTCACTTCTTGCATAGTCGACAGTGTTTTTTTCAGGGAATATCATTACTGTGGGACCTTGAAAATAAGAATATTCATATAAGTCATCCACTATTTAGAATGAAATGCGTGAAATTTGGGGAATTTGTTTTATTATTAACAATGCATATACTTCGAGAAAAGGTTGAAGAAAGGACACAGGTTTGCACCACACATAATAAACAAACAACTAAAATTCTAACGAGCAACGTAGGCCTCGATTCGTCGTATCTACCACAAAAATATTCCACAGCGGCAATCGCTGACAACGAAATGCAGTCAACCACACTGACAACACATCCCTCAAGAACAGCGCGAAAACTAAATATCAGTATAGCTACACGTGCATGCTCATGTAAATAATTTAGATATTTTGAATAAGCAGTTTTTCCCTTGAAAATAATTTTAGGCGAATTTTTTTTCAGGATTTTCCTTAAAATAACGTAGAAGTAACGAAAAATCCGCCTAGGTTGATCATCGCGTAATAATCTCAGGTCGCTCGACCAAGCAGATGCCAAAATGCTCACCGCAATGTATTTCATTGCATTGTATTATCGAGCTTCAAGCACAGGAGCCGGCCCTCGAGTTTGCTGTGTATTTTTAGTTACTAGTTAATACTTAGCATTATCAAAGAATACGTATATTCCATTTTTTATCTATGGTACGTGTTACTTACATTCTGCGCAAAGTTTGCTGTACGCATTCCGTTTTTCATTCAACTCATTTTTCAGCGATTCGCAGCATTCCGTACCATTGCCAGACAAATGTACACAGGTTGTTTCGCTTGACGAACATACTTGGTTAATGGCGTCTAATTTATTTTTCAGCTCACAAAAAAACGAGCGGCAGCATTGTGGAAATGAATGCGAAAATGCTGACAAACCAAACGTAGTCAGAAGAAGAACGATTGTCAAACCAGAGTTCATCATTTAGAATATCTAATGAAAAAAACTTTCTGTCATAGCTATATAGGGTGACATCATTTTTAGCGAGTAATGAATATCTCAAGCGGGTGCGTGATGGGCGCAGCAAACGAGGAGCAATTGTGATAATGCATGCCTGGGCGATATAAAACCATAAAATCACTGAGCTTATATATACAGTTACGCAACTGGCAGTGCAAACTTTGGATTTAAAGTAGGCCCTCGACTTAATTCGTATTGATTTTTATTCAGCGATATTCACCTCGCCTCGGGAATAATCGTTATATAAATAGAACAGATGTTCATCACTACTTATACTAAACTACTCAATTCTCCTTTCATTCTTGATTTATTTCTTGTCTTTAGGTGTAAAAAACAGCTAAAGGCTTCCATCTTTTCGTTTCATACAATTTAATGTTTTTATTTTTCCATCTGCCGCGTGTGTTGTATCTAGGCCATATATTACCTCAGCAGCTAGCGGCCAGTTGGTAAATCAGTTTACTTCGCTGTTTTGGTTTATATGCTTCTGCACCACTGTTCGTTTCCGGCATAACTTTACAAAATAAGACTCATCTATTGACCACAAAATATTTATGAGAAAACATGTTCAACTTCATAAACGAGCGACTAAAAAACTGATATGTGAAAATTTGAGTTTTTGACAAACAGCTGAGCGGTGGTGCAGAAGCACATAAACTATAAAACACCGCGTTTAACCCAGGGTTAGCGCTAATCTATAGCTTCGAACAACCGGCCCAGGTGAGTAAACCACCCGCCAGGTGAATAAACCACCCGCCAGGTGAATAAACAATTCTTATATCGCTCTGGTTAACATGGATAAGTTAAAATTATAGAATTCTAGGAAAGTGTTTGCGAGTACCGGTCTTCAAGTGAACTCTTTCGTTATAG